CAAAGCGCCGCCGAGGAGTACGCCGAGGACGAGGGCCAGTACTACACCGAGGGCGGCGTCGACGACGGCTACAGCTACGACGAGCAGTACTACGGCGATGACGCGGCCTCCTACCCTCCGCCCCCTCCCGACCGCGGTGGCGAATACTACGAGTAGAGCTGAAGCCGCTGACTTCAAATCTGTAGTTGTAGCCGTCCGCTTCGACGGGCACATCGAACCCGCCAACAACAACAAAAGCGCAACACCAAAGAGAGCAGCCACTTCATTCCCGCGGAGGCAGGGCCGGGGGGATGCTGTCATCGATCACAGGGGGCGGGGTTGGGGAGGTGTCGCCGGTGGGTTCTGCAAGGGCTGTGGCTGCCAGCTCGCGGATACACATGGAGCGCGGGCGCATGGTGGCGAGAGGCTGCAGTGGCACTGTGGTAGGCGAGAACTGTCGCAAGGTTCGCCCGTCGAATAGCTCCTGAGCAGCAGAACCCGAGTTTGTCGATAGTCGTTCGGTGATGAATGGAGATGAATCCCCACCAGCTTGCATGCTGGGCATGAAGACAAAGGCCGATTCTCGCTTTATCTTGGAGGAGTTGAGCTTGGCGCTCCTTCTTCGGCGTTCCTTCTCCGCCTTTGCGAACTCTTTTTGCAGGCGTTGGGCCTCCTTGGGGTCCAGTGACTTGGGTCTGCGTATTGCCCACCACCCTTTATTAGTACGACCAGACCTTGTCCAATTGCTTATACGCTCGTACCTTGGCTTCTTGGCCGCCACTCTTTGGGACTCAGAAAAGGCCTGAACTCCATCCAGGTCATCTGCATCTGAAAAAGTAGAATGATGTTGGCACTCGATTATCAAACAGGTGAGGCAAAGGGAATGTACGCTCAGCGGCAATCTCCGCCATGAAGGGGCTGATGACGCAGTTCATCCGGATGCTGTAATCTTTCTGGTCCGCAAGCCACTGCTGTCTCCTTGGCGATGAGCTGAGCGTCCCGGCGTCCACCACAGCGGAGGCCTCCAGAGCCGCCAGCTGAAGGGCTTCCTGTATTTCTTCTTGTTCATCATCTGGCGCCCCCTTCTTTCCCGCAAGTCTCCTCACCGTCTTCATCTTCTTTGCTTTACCTGCCCAAGAGACAGAAGGTTTCCTTTTTGCGTTTTTACAAACATGTTTGTAAAAAGTGAAAAGGAAACACGGAGGAAAAAAAGGAAAAGATTTCGTTACCAGGAACTCGCAGGCAAAAACTGAAACGAGAGTTCGATCATTCATGAGAGATGAGCGATGTCGGTGCCACGCCAGGATTGTGACGCCACGATCGACCTCCTGAGCCTCTCTCGAGATCAGCTCATAAAACGAGTTCTGGCTCTGATGCGCGAAAATGAACGATTGCAAGGCGAGATTAGACGGAGCACCGATGAGGTGGCGGACCTGCAGTTCCAGCTCCTTCGCTACCAGACACCTGCTCTCACAGGGGTTGATGCAAAGTGTGTGACATCTCCTCCTTCCTTCAAATCCTTTGAGGCGTGTTGTGCCGTGTTTGCCCTTACCTCACGGCAGCAGGGAAGAGACCAAGGCGTTGACGGCACCGGCAACCAAGGGCGGAGCCGAGGAGCAAGAGGTGCCGATGACGCCCGCGACCCCACCAGACGCGGTGCGCAGCAGCAGCGCAAACTCTTCCTTGCTCCTGGAATCGCCCGGATGGGGTACCCGCCCCACTCCCTGTAGGGACTTTGGCGTGAATGTGGGCCAGCAGGGGCTCACCTCGCTGTCCCGTGCATGTAACGGGCATTACACTGTTGGCCAGGCTTGTCGACCGAGTTGATGTCGATGGCGGATGCGCTGGAGAAGGACTTCATGCTAAGGTCGACAGTGGCACAACAGCCAGAGCCGATGCCGCAGAGGCAGCAGCAGAGACAGCAACCGGTCGGAAAGCGGTCGGTGAAATCGCAGAGCACGTCGGACGACGACCGCGGCAACACCGCCGCGCCTGATCTGGCTCACACGTCCCGAGCTCGAC